TTATACTTTGTTTATATGATACGATTTTTAATATTCTACGCATTTTTTTTATTGTTATTTAAGTTCAAATTTGGACGGAATTAAATATTTAAGTAGAGAATAACAATCACAGTTATTTTATTATAATTTTTCCGTTCAGAATTATTTTTCGTATATACAATGATATTATATCATTGAATTGAAATTTAATTCCATCTATTACAATTTACAATGAGTCAGTGACTGACTGGTAACCTACTGTACAGCAGAGCGGTATCCGCCTTTTTAAAATTGTATTCAATGTTTTTTCATTCAGTATTTTTTTATTATACGTCATCTATTTTACACTGTATATTTACTAATTTTATCACCGAAACCGTAGTAAATTTTAAATGGACATTTTCTGTTATCGCAATTTCACCGGATAAAAGAATTTTACGTTCCTAATTACCGATATACTTAAATATGCATTTATGTAGAATAACAACAAAATATGCAAACATATTATTATGCTAAACTAAAGTGTCACGAAACATGCATTTTATGCACTTACATGGTTCTAATATTTCTATACAAATATTAATAAACTGGTAGTCTTCAGGCTATTTATTATAAATACATCATAATTAATAATTGTATTCATTATTGTAAACGTATAAACGTAAAAGCCTTAACTCCTAAAGTCCTAACTGTAAAGGCTCCTATAAATACTCTCAATGACGCCAATGATGACCCCACAGAACACAATAAATAAATAATAATACAAATTGCACGTTGTAAATGATACAAAAATAGTAATATGTAACAACAATACAGTATTATATCACCGTGGTCGTGTGTTCCGAGCGGCCCGTGCACGCGCCCCCCTCACCACCCTCCCCCATATCATCGACGTTACAACGTTGTCAGCCGCATGTCCGCGTGCGTATTATATCATTATTGTTGGTGAACAACAAGGGCGTCACGCGCGCCGAGACGAGACGACTAATCGCACACTTAGCGGTAGCAGTCACGCGCTTCATTCGCGTCACTGCCATCGCCGCGCCGCCGCGCTGATCGTCCATCGCATAAACTATAAAGTGTTCGCTCGTCGCTGGCAGTTACACAGACGCCGTACACTCTCGGGACGCGACGACACTTTGAAAACATTATATTATTATTATAATACGATATTATCGCATACGATTTTTACGTTTCCGTTTAACGATAGATTATCGTTAGTTAAATTTTTATATTGAATTTCTCTTTCGAACGTGTCATCGTCGGATCAACACAATCAAAAAATATTTTATAATAATATAATATCATCATCGAAATTATACCGTGCCGCGAACTCCGACAGATCACCATGGAACAGTACCGCGATTACGATGACGACGAAGGATCGACGACGTCCGGCAAAACGTTCGAATCCGACTCCGATTGTTCCGGATTCGACGATACGACCTCATCCGCACCGTCACCCACCACGGTCCACTCCCACAGCAGGGGCAAGTGGCTGAAGACGCTACAGAAAATCATCGACAGGATGGACAGCAGAAGTGGTGGACGCCGGCCGCGACAGGTCAAGACCATTCTCAGGCCACTGACCACGTATGTGTTCGTGATCGGTATGTCTGGACTACCGTCCAAGGTGGCCGTCTACCCGAGATATATGTGAAGGAATCCGTAAGGAAGTGGATACCAAAGGCCAGACTGAGTAGACGATCCGTAAAAATGTGATGAGATATTACAAATTCGGATGCCACGATATTATGATTGTTTTGTCGTACGATTCATATTGTGGTCATAAATTTTATTTTGTGACTGAAGATAATAACTGTATATTGTGACCCTCTAACGAGTCTAACGTTTCAAAAGACTATATGTATATTGTATAGGTATAGGATAATTTCAATACTGTAGATATGTTTCTCATAATTTCTTTATTTATACACGAATTGATAATATTTTTCACCATTCGTTTCTAATTGTATTAAGATAATTTTATACATTTTTTTTAAAATTTTATAAACGCTTTTGATACGAATATAATATTAAATAATTATGTGTGGTGCACGACATACGTGGTGCTTATCAAATATTATGTAAGATAAAAAGAGATTTGTAATACTGAAAAAACGGGCTTAACTGTCATGTAAACATATATTATCTATAATTTTACTACGTGATTTAAATGTGTCCTGTAAATTATAAATTATTATTTTCGACAAGAACGAAACAATTAAAATACATTTTCTGTACATAATGAAATTGATTGTTTTTCTAATTTTTAATATCTAGGCGTATATTACTATATTTCAATTTAGAATATAATATATATATCATACATTTTTCATGTTAATTTTAATGAGCAACAGATGTAGTGTAATTCGATCAAATACTACGAATGATGTGCTATGGATTTTGTGTGTTTAATATTATTACATAATAAAACACTGAGTATTTCCAATTATAACGCTTAAGGGACAATGTCAACGAATGTTATGAAATGCTGAGATAAGAATTACTCGAGTGTGCATTATTTTTCAAGGTCTACTGACACATACTTTTTTGGTACAATCGCGACAGGTAGCATTGTAACAATAACATTAAACCTTTTGATTTCGTGATAAAAACGGAAATTAAATTTAAAAAAAAATATGAAAACAAACGTTTGAAATTTACATACATCATAAATATTTGAGATTTTGCGTTTTATTATATTGAACTGCACAATCGATTGTTTAATATGCTTACAGTGTACATTTTCATCGCTTTATAACACGCATTTACGTGAAAATGTATAATACAGGGTGATTCATGAGACGTAAAACACTCATTATTTATAAAAACTATTTATTTTTGTTTTTTCAAAATTGTTGATCTATGCTGTTCTAAAACTATATAAATTTTTAATATTTTTCACCCTTATATTTACTAGGTAAACCAATATCAACTTTTGATTTCTAAATGGCAACCTATATTAACAATATCATAAATTAATAATACTATTTTTTTAATGCATTTTCACGTTTAAATTTTCATTTTTCGTTAATCTGTTGACGAGATAATATAGTCTCCCAAAGTTGGATGATGGTTTTTGGCGTGGTGTTTGTGTATAAATGTGTTATACCATGTTAGTACCGCGGCCGCAGCAATTGGGATTTTTGTACTCTATAGTGTAAAACATAATACACTTTTCAAATAAATTCAGTAAGTACGATAGCTAAGCCGAAGTTGTGCCCCAAAATAGGTAAACATATTTATTATTTACACAGGACAAACACCAACCCAAAACCATCCAACTTTGGGAGACTATATCTCGTCAACGGACGAAAAATGAAAATTTAAACGTAAAAATTCATTAAAAAAATAGTCTTATTAATTTATGATATTTTTAATATATGTAGGTTACCATTTAAAAATCAAAAGTTGATAGTGGTTTACCTAATAAATATAAGGGTGAAAAATACTAAAAATTTATATAGTTTTAGAACAGCATATGTATCTAAAATTTTGAAAAAAAAAAATTTTAAAAAAGTAAATAGTTTTTATAAATAATGAGTGTTTTATTACGCCTCATGAATCACCCTGTATACCTATGTATCGCGTGTCCATGAAAACAAGGTAAACAGAAATATTGAAGTTGCTGCGTATCCAAAAAATCACTATGGCGTGTGTTTATATACATATATATAACTAATAACTATATTTATAAGTCAAAAGTATACATCTGTCCATCTGTAAAAAATGTAAATACTTAAAATGAAAAAAAAAAAAATACATTCATCACTTCGTTCAGAATCTAAAACTGCTCATCATAAAATTCAAAACTATGTACAGGGTACTCGAGCAGTAATATATCAGTATAGTCAAAGTGGGGAAATACGATATGGTGGGAATTGTTCCTCCACTTTTTATAGTTCACATATTCCATCCCTTTAATTATTTTGTCGAAAATAATACATTCCTTATTATTATTTAAAAAATATATTAAGTATAGATTTATATTGGTATTATTTAGTATATTTCTACATTTAAGATTGTTTTTTTTTTAAATTAGTTTTATAGCAATGCAGTTGGCATTGATATTTATTAATAGAATAAATATTATTACTTTTTTGATAAGAAACTAGTACACCTGATGGTTTGCTTTTCTAAATTGTGGCTATTCGAACTAATAAAATCTAAKCGTAATTTCTTACATTTTATGATAATAAAATAATATATTATCTTTACAGTGTACTTATAGTTAAAATTTAAAACATTTTTGATTAATTTTACAAAAGTTAATAAATATAGCATAAACAATTAGCTTTCCATTTTTTTTTAATACTTTCTGTATAATGGTATAATATATGCATACTGTTAGAATTTATAAATTGTATGCAAATTAATACTTCAAGCATAATATAAGTATAATGAGTGTATACATTTATACAACATAAATGTAATATTCGTTATGTTTTAAAAATATATATTATTATAGGTACTTAGGTAGGTAGAAGACGCTAGACTAAAAAACTAAAATGTATACCATATGTATAACGTTGTATTATATAAGAGGGTGTACAAGAGTGAAACTCAAATCTTTCCCCTCCCTCTATTCTTCAAATATGTATGAGACATATATGAGAATTATAGGTACAAATAAGGGCATCCCTCTACTTGGTTTGAGCCACTTCCGTCCTTGATTATAACTTATAATTTATAAGTAACCTAGTTACAGAGTGTACCTTGTTTTCGTGGACACATGGTATAATACCCTCAGGGGTGACATACATTTTCGGGTCACATGTCAACATTTTTTTAAATTAATTTATAAAAAATATGCACATACTATTAATAGTAAATACCTATGTTCATAGGTACCCGTGGTTACCGTTATAAATACAATTTTTCCTCAGAGTAATAGAGGTTTTAAAAACATCACTATCATTGTTTTAGTATCTGTTGTGTATTATGTTAGTCTTAATTATTATTTCAATGAAATATATAAACAGCATTAATATTTAATCCAACAATGTATTATTTTTCTGTTTTGGTTTTAAACAATTCGTTGTAAAAAATAAACTTTTACATAAGTACCTACCTATAAAATATTACGTATAGGATGCTGCTGTGATAGCTGAGAAAGTTTACAGTTGGTGATTTTATTTTTTAGAAATATTACAGACATTTTTTAGTGATTTTTTTCATTAAATACAAGATTTAACTTTGAAATAAACATATTTTTGAGTTTATTGAAATTTAACCAACGTGCAATAGATTCGTCATTCCTGGTATATATAGATATGCACGTGTTTTGAAAGTTTGCAAAACGTATATTATACGTAATATAATGTTATACAATATTAGATAATTCAATAATTTATTGTATCGACTATATGTATTTAACATAAGCTTAGAATATAAATATTTAGTAACTATGTTTATATTGTATACCTAATATATAATATATATATATATTAATATATTGTGTTTGTGTACATACATTTTAATTATCAATAAACAATTGTTATAATGATTTATTTTCTGTTACGAATATAATAGGCATGCACACTTAATATAGTCACTTAATATGTATTAAAGGCGCAAGAATAAAATAATTTAGAAAAAAAAATACGCAAAAAAAATCCTATGGTACGCAATGTATATCAAGACATTAGACCACGACTAAATGGTATCGTACTATCGTATACATTTGTATATAAAATATATAAAAATTTAAAACAAAACTTTATAATATGCGTTTAACACATGCAGCAGCATTCAAATCTCTATGATACACATACGACATACAACAAACCCCGTCTAAACTTGCACTGTAAATTGTAATAATAGATAACTTCACGAATTCCTGGTCAAATCGAATTTTATCAGTTGATTATGATTTATGTAGATTAGTTGTTATTGTCGACTTGTCGACAAAATACAATAAATATAAGGTTTATAAATTAGTTGCATTTTTAAATTATTCAAATACTTTAGAAAAACTGTTATAAGAAATTCTTGGTTCGAAAACTCATTTAACGTTCTTAGTTTTATACATAGTAAATTTAAAAATTTATTGCATGTAATAATTTATTATTACTTTTTTAAGTAAATATATATGAAAAAAAATTGTTCTGATGTCAAAAGAAAATTCAAACTTGAATTAAAATATGGTCCAGTCTTCTGCGAATTATACATACATTTTTCGAAAATTATATAATGTCTAGAACTCAATAGTTGTTGATTAAAAAGAAACTTGGGAGAAATTCATTTTTGTTCAACATTATTCGGAATTTTATGAAAAAAAATTTCTTCAGAATTAGTTCGGATATATCATATAATAATTATTAATTATTAATTAATTATTTATTAATCGTATCGTACAATGAAAATAATCGGTTAGGTAATATAATTTATTATTTACATATTTTATACCAATGTAGTTGAGTAGTTCCATGTGACCATGTTATATCAATGACGTACCATTTGAACGTCATAATATTGAGTTTTACGCCGTCAATGTTTTTTTTTGTTTCCATATTAATTTACAATTTTTTCCGATAATTCGTATAACTGCGCGTTGCTTCGTTACACCACGAGCACGTTTCTTTTTTCAAATGCTCATCAATGATGAGTCATCATAATACTAACAGTTTTTGTCACGTTTTTATCGATTAATATATTAATATTATTTTGATGGATACACATACAATATATATGGTGCTCGGTGACCGGTGTACCGTCAGTTGCGCGTGATAATTTCAGCGCACGTTAATTGGGCGTGGAAATTATAGCGCATGACAATGAAGCGCATACGACATCTTGGTGCACGTCAAATTAGCGAATACGACATTTTAGCGTGTGATATTTTAACTCAACAAAATAACAAAATAACAAAATAATACAATAAAGATACAGCAAAAAAAATATTACACATATGCGAAKATTTTGAAAATCGACCACTCAATGAGTACTTACAAGGGATAGCCCACAACTTGAATTTAAATAAATGATTATAATATGATGTTTTTTTTATAAATGTTTGTATTTTTTTTTAAATTTTAAACATAATTTTAATTTAAATAAGTGATTTTTAAAATAATGTAATATGTAGGTATTTAACGTTTAGCAATATTTAATGATATTTTTAATATGATTTTAATTTGGTATTTTATTATATGTTTAATTAATTTGGTATATTTTAATTTTTTAATAAACATGATGCGCTGACTTGTCTTGCGCTGAAATGACGTATACGTTGATTTGTCTTACGCTGAAATATCGTATACGCTGATTTGTCTTGCGCTGAAATATCACCGCTGAATTTTCGTGCGCTAAAATGACCGCGCTGAATTGTCATCGATCCTCGGTGACCGGTGCTACTGAAATATCGTCGTCAAAAATATTCCATTCTGTAGAATAAAACAAATTTGATTTGGTTTTTTTAATTAATAGATGGAAGTATTTCTACTGCTCACATTAAACTCCATTTTTTAATATTTATATCTCAAAATTTAAAGGTAATATATTATATTGGTTTATAAAAAAAAAATGTAAGTGTTTTTACAAATTATTATAAATTATTACTTAAGATTAAATTAAAAATCATATTAGTTTAATAGTTGACTGTATTTTTTTAAAAAATTTTTACATAAAAAGTGCGGTATTAAAATCTGAAAATTCAACAAGGCCTGTAGAGTTTTTTCCGTTAAGTTTTTTTTGTTAAAATAATACATCAACTACTCCTCACCCCTAAATATAGGAATAGGAGTAGAGCAATAGATTAGTGGAAAAGTATTATAATATTTAAGTTTTAGGTGACAACTGAAATATAAAATATAATTTTTAAATTTTATAGAACACTAAAAATATAATAAATCGGCAACAGGCCATCCTATCCAACGGAAATTAATAACGTTAAAACTATGCCTATTAAAATCGGTTTCAATTAACTCGATCTTTAATTTGTAGTTAACACGATGATGGATAGTTATCAATAACAGTAAGCCTTTTAGATTTAAATTGTTTTTTTTCTATAGAGGGGGAGGTATGAAACGGAAGCGTAATTTTGATGCGTGCCCTGCATGGTTTGAGTAAAAAAAACTATATAATAATAATTAAATTAAATTAATACAAGAATAGGTATATAATAATACTAGAATTGTTCACGAATAAACAAACTTTTTTACAGTAGGTAATAATGTTGTAGGTACGTAAATAATATATTATAGTTCGGTCGAAATTCCACAGGTCGTTGTTTTTGGCTTAACAGTCATTTTGATTTACACAATATATATTTATTAACTTTGGTCGTGAACTTGATGCAACTTATTTTATTATATGTGTTTAATATTGAACTTTTTTTGAGTGATAAAATGACTGTCTATAGATATGAATATTAGGCCGTTTCTCAAAAATGATTGCCTCGAAAATTTGATTGTTATAGGTACACATTTAAATAAGTATAATGTATAATATGTCTTAGGGTTTTTTAAGAATTGTTTTCATTAGATATTATTTGCTTACCTACCGAGGAATAAGAATAATTTTTTTCAAGACCGTAATATCTCTAATTAAATCTATAAATTATTAGTATACTCGGACAATGTTTGTCCTAAAAATGCACCGAAAAACGAAGGGAAATGTTTGTATCCGGAAATTTGCTCGTAACCCTTAAAATATTATATGTAGGTCATGTCTGCAAATCATACAATATGGTTTTCATAATTATTTCCGCAACTAGAATAGAACACGCTGTTACACGTCAATTGGTCTAAAGTTTATGCGAAAAATATACGCGCACATGAAATTGCATGCTTTCACAAACCACGTGCGCCCCATTACTCGTGGGTAGAACCAATCAGAGAGGGTGGTTTAAATTGAACGTGCGTATCTCCGGTGACTTACTTTCTGCGTATAGTATAGATGCTGCGACACAACGTGTATATCGTATAACATGTTATATGTATGATTAATAATCATTGATTATACATATATACGGCCTTTCATAGATATACCACCGTTTAACGTGATCGGTGAACACATTGCAGTTACCCAGTACACGTGTTCCAATTCCGTTTAGTAGGTAGGTAGTATAAAATATAATAAACAATTTGGTATCAATAATATTTGAATGATATACGCCAAAATAACATGTATAGGAAAAAAACATGCTAAATGGGTCGGAGGCTGTTGCAGTGGCTTTTCAATTTAAGAAAATTCCGTCTGGGATTCAATGTATAGTGTCCAATGTAGGCGGGAAAGTTTAGAATTTGTCATACAGATATATAGCATGGTTATTTTATAGTTTTATACAACGACCCGCGAGATACAGCGGGTAATGCAAAATATAAATTTATAATTATAGTTTGATTGAAAAATAGTACTATATAGAAAACTAATAATAACGTTACGTTTATAGTGTAAATTTGTATTCAATAAAACATTTCGAATGTAAGATTGATTTATTAATTTATTATTATTTATGACGGATTTTATTTCAGTAAAATTTTATAGTTGTCCAGCTGCAGCTTTGCTTTGCAACCTCCGTTTATAATGTCAACAAATTTTTCGTTACTTACACACAGTGACGTATTTACGGGGGGGAGGGGTCCCCGGGTCTCGACCCCCCCCAGAAAAAAATTTTAAAAGATTATAATATTAGCTTGCTACGTAATGGTATCGAGAAAAATAATATTAATTTATATTATGTGTTTTAATGTTTGTATTACAATATTTTTAACCATAACTTGGGTTTAACCTTTGGTTATTTTTTTTTATCGCATCGTCGCCATCCGACGACGACAACAATGACAATAACAACGTAATATACAATATACCTATATAATTATATTAGTACGCTATATATTATAGACGATATAGTAGACTCGTATGTATTTTATTATAATATTATAAACTTATACTTAATATTTAGACCCCCCGCCCCCCCATAAAAAAATTGAAAATACGCCACTGCTTATACATAATAATTGTTTTAGGTTGTAATGTCTTCAGTTATGTTTTATTGATGAATGACAGCTGACAGGGTACTCGATTAAACATCACCTTATAGTGCGTTATCACATTTTTAACGAAGTCTGAAGTCTGAATACGTCTCAGTTCATTTAAGTTACCCTCAGTGCACCACAATAATGTATAGTCGTTGTAATTTATTATATTATTTTGGCTTACACTCTTTTTTACACATTAAAGTTTAGGTAAGTGTACTCATTTTGAATAATGCATTTATGTATATTTTAGTATCTTTAAATTAACTGAACGTCATTCTATTTTGAAAATTGAAAACAATAGTAACTACACTTTTCTATTATGATTTATGGCACTAATGCACCATATCGCGCATCAGTTTACTACTCATACTTATTTGACTTCAATGAGTCACGCACTCACGCTTTGTCATTTTTAAAATTAAATGTGGTTTCTTCTCTATTCCCACAGTAGTTTTTATAAAAATTTCTTATACAACTGTTAAGTTCTTTTGTCATCGCCACGGTTCTGTTTACTCTGTTTCCTAAAAGTATTGGTTACGGACCCGGGACCACTAATGACGTACTCTTGAAATTCAATCGAATTCGTTGATAAAACTACAGACGCACTTGGGATGTAAACCTCTCCTGCAACGAATTCCCTTCTTCCTTGGAGCAAGGGTACCGTCCACCGTGGTCATTCTAAGTAAGTACTTTCAAGTTGTAATTTTTCAGAATTCTCGAGTAATAGAGAATTCGTTTAAGAGCTGTAGGTAGGTACAATCGTAGAAAAATGCAATTTTCGTAAACTTATTGTAAGATTTAGCTTTTTTAATATTTAGGATCTTTTATTTTGCGTTTTTATGCTTTTTATGAATTTTTAAATTTTTAGCGTTTTTATGTAAATGTTTAATAGTCACATAACTGTTTTCATTATTTTCATCATCCTCCATTAATTAAAAAGTTTTTACACAAATTTTATAAATTATAATTTAATTTTTTTCTTATACATTTTTATAAGTGAATAAAAATAATTAAAAATTTAGTTTTAGGTTACTAAACATATTATGTTATCCTAATATCCCTGTTTCATCAGTCCGTCCGTTAGTAACCTGCAGCAGTGCATATTATATAGTTATGATTGTCGATATCAAGATATTTTTTTATTATACACAGGTCATAGTTATATTGTACATAAATTATATATGGAATTATAATTATTTATTGGGTTGAATTGAAAGTACGCTTGGAAACTTTGAACGCTCGCCGAGTGAGCTTCTATTTTGTGCCCTTCTTAATACAACGCTTGACAGATTGTCATACGTTTTAATTTTGATTTTTGAAATGCATTTTTTGGCGTTTACAATGCGCATTTTATACTGTAGTTTTGGAGATTAAAATGTAATTTTCAAGGTTTTCTAATGCATTTTCAGGATTTATATCGCGTTTTTTGATATTTTAAAATCATTTTTTGAATGTTTTATAGTTTTATACTGCATTTAATTCATATATATTAGCCTTCGACTATTTACAGCAATATTTTAGGCACTTGTGTGTCCCAGAATTTTACGAAATTCTGCGTGAACGAAGGTGCCTCATATAGGTACAGGATAACACGATTTTCACACATCACGTCATATGTAGTCCTATTACCATAGCTGGTATACACATTATTGCCATTGGTCGTCATTGCCGCGAGGAGTCACACGCAACGCGTCGGTAGAGCACACGTGCGCGGAATGAGCATAGGTGGGCGACGGTTTATATAATGTTAAAACGATAAAATACATTAATATAATTACAGCACACGTGAGTCGCCAGTACCTCGTGGCCGTCATGGAGCATGCGTCACGTGTACGGTGACGTGAATTTATGCGCAGCGTCTGAGCATCGTGGTGCCCTGTACCGGTGGTGCGCGTCACGTGTGGGCCGTGGTTCACGTGGTGCCACACGGCTGGCGCCGGCCGTATAAAGACTGTGCGTCCGGCGGCGTGGACCATTCAAGTCGTTCATTCGCACCCGGTACCCCACTCTGCAGCGATATACGATATAATATTAATTTATACCGGCACATCATCGTAATATCGCGTATATAATACGTACTTATCGCGATATTATCATACACTCATAGCCGTGCGCTGCAGCGGTAAACCGAAAACCAAAAACCCTTTCATAGGCCGTATGTCTAATAATAATAATAATAATATTATTATTATTTACGACGAGCTTAATTATTATAACGATCACTCACAGAAATCCGTCCGTTCCAGTAACGAGTGTCAGGTCGTTGATCGCAGCCCGCACTTCAGCAGACGAACGCATTTACTTCAGCAGCATCACTGAACATGCCGAGCAACGGTGACCAGGCCAACAATCCATCGATGGACGAAAAACGCAATTTTGGATCTTACGTATCCCGCAGCATGGTGATGTACGAAGACGGCGGTGGAAGTAGAGGCGACTCGAGCTCAAGTGGAAACGGCGGCAGTGACTTAGACGACGACTACGAGAGTTGGTCCCCGGATAGTCTCAGCAAAACTGGCGTCAACGGCTCTTTGTCGTCCGGCAGCGCCGACGAGGGCTGTTACAGCGGTTACGGCGATAAATCGTCGAGGACCCACAGTGGCAGCGGCAACAGCAGTAGCGGCGGCGGCGGAAGTAGCAGCAGTGGTGGCGGCGGCAGCAACAGCAATAACGGCGGGAGTGGAAGCAGTGACAGCAGTGGCAGTGACGGCGGCGGAAGCGGCCACAGAGGCAAGTGGTTATTATCGTTGCGTACCGTCATCGACCGGATGGTCGGCAGCGAGCGCAAGAGCCGCAGCAAGAAGAGAGTCGTCAAGACCATCCTCCGACCACCGACCACTTACAAGTACGTCATCGGCATGTCCGGGATCCCGTCCAAGGTTCCCGTCTACCCAAAAAACTACATGATGTGAACTCGATTTCCTGCCGCCGTTCTATCGCTGTACCCGCAGCACCTTTGGAACCCTATCGACAACCACTGCATGAACCTTATCGGCAATCACTGCACACACGACCATTGCGATCACCTCCAATCGTCACGTTTCCCGGCCGCCTTCACAGCCAACACCGTCTCTATCATTACCATTTGTATGATCCCGTCCATCCCGACCACGGTCATCGGACGTCAAGCGCCATTCTTCCCTAGGTATCATTTGAAAATGCCGTCACGTCATTCACGTCATTGGTCATTGGAACAACGCAACAGCAACACGCGGGAGTTATTACCTAAATATTGGACGCATTCATAACTGTCTTGATTTGAAACAAAAAGGTATAATAATAGTAACATTATCGACTTAAAACGATTTCGCTGAATCTTATATGTATAAATTAGTAGAAATGTGATGGATAATCAAAAAAAAAAAATTCCTATATACCATATATATATATATAACAGACTGACTATACCAATACGCCTTACAGTTTAAAATATTTATATTGTATCCACATAAAATTTTTGAGGCTCGGCGGACTCGATAAAAAATCGGTAGAATTCATGCATGACCCGAATCCCGATAAATTAGAATTAGATTTATTATTCATATGTATAATGTTTAAAAATAGATTTACTGAATAGTACTCACTACCCATTAGTGGTATATATCCTATCTATACGTCGTACTTCGTACACTCGTGTGATATAATTATTTAATTTATATATTAATATTATTTATTGGAATATCATCTTATCTATCCTATAACAAAACGTATTTCACATGTTTTTAGACCAAAAGTGATTTTTGATTCGTAGAGATTTTCTGACATACACATATATTCAAATGGACGGCTTTTACAGCTGTGGATAAAAACAAATATTTCAAAACGGTCTACGAATTTAAATCACTTTACCATTTATATTATGGGCGAAAAAAAACATTTAAAAAATATAATTATAAAACTAATTTCTTAATTTTGTGGTAAAAAGGCTTCCTTCAAGATGATATTTTACTTGTGATAATTATTGTAATTTAGATTGAATAGTGTGCACTATACATACCTACTCCCATATTTTCGATCATATAAATATTCTTTGACCCTTGTAGTAGTCGTATACTATTTGAAATCTAGTGCATTAGACGATATTATATGTTATTATGTACCTATTAGGCTTAAACGATTTTCATGGTAAGATTATACTTCTATTTTATACATACATTTAAACATTTGTAATGTGACTATATTTTAAATATTTTTAATAGCACAGTTTGAAGTAAAAATAATAATTAATATTAAAAATATAAGAGAGATTTATTATACTGAAATATATGAAACATTATTATTAATCTATGTTCTATACCCTTCATAGTATATATAATATATTATAACTTCCACGTAACAATTACTATACTTCTCAATTATCGAGTGATTTTAATGTGTTTCGTACGAATTAAATAGATGTCCATAAAAATGTAACAATAAAAATAAATTCTATGATATAAAATTACTGTTTTAAATTTTTTGAAATTAGGTCCTGAATCTGGTCTTTGTTTATTTATAATTTTAGTCCACGTGTGCGGTAATTCTATTAATTGGTTCATAGGTGATAGGTACCTCTACTCGAGAATAAAAACCGATCGTTATAAATATTATAGTATGATGAATTATTAATATTAACATAATATATTCCATAAATAAGACATAGGTTTTTATTTCTCGTATAGTGATTTAGACGATATTATCTTTGAATATATATGTCATATAGATGGGTACCTATAATTTGTATGTATTTATTTATATAAATTCATTTTAGGATGAGCTCGACGTCATTTTATGTTTTATATGATATAAATGTTGTTTTTTTTAAACTGCAGTGTCAGACATTCAGTGCACGACGAAGATTGCAGTGACTATTGAACTTTGCAGGACGATAATAGTATTAGTAGGTAATTTTAAAACGCTTAAATAGTATAATATAATTATATGCTTTCGGGGGATAGATATACGTATTTGCGCATATTTGGCCGGTTGTAAGCTGTGCTCAAAAATCTCTATTTTTTTATAACTTGTACCGGAAATTTTTATGCAACTCAATATTTTTCTGGTAGGTTTTCTAAATAATTGCAGCGCACCTATTATACGTAATTGTATTCACATTTATGATGGCATCTTTTGACAGTGAGTAGTACATACACAAATTTCTATAGGTACTATAGGAAATAATTTACAGTATTATTTTAACAATTAGTTAAATCTAAATGAAAATAAACTTTACGACGATGCAATCGAGCAATCGAGCAGATATTCCTTCAACGGTTCAATATCATCATGTCAAGGTCCTGTGTTGGTTTAATTCCATTATTATCGATTAGGTATAGGCGCTTAGGAATTATACATACCTATAACAAATATTTAGCTTAAGGACACTAAGGTGGCGTGGATTCCGATTTATAGTATAGCAAGAGACGGGATAGCCCCTTTGTCTGATGGATCAGTTACAACAGATGGACATAAGCGAGTAAGAGACAATCGTAAATTAGCAATATTATAAGAATGATATATCTACGCATGAATATAGTTTACAGAATTGGACAGATTTAAATTAAAGTTTTAAATTGTATAATATAATCTGTAGATAACAATAATTTGGTATAATATATTATATTTTATAATTATTATATTTTATATTTTTGGTATTAATATGTAGTTTGAAGCTGGAATGTCGAGAAAATATGTATTGCATTTACATTTGTGTGAGTACCTACGGTTATTCGTTTAGAATTACGACAAAATATCAAAAGTAATCAACCTAATAAATTTTCCTTAGTTTATCAGTTTATCGCTGAATATTAAATATCATTATAATTTTGAATTCTAAGTTCAAATTAATTTTTTGTTACATTCCTTTTTTTTTTTTTTTTTTCGAAAGTAGAAAGACTTGCTGGTAATCTTCTATTAAAATTTTCTAATGTTAGTTATGAAAAAATAATTTGAAAAATTTCGAGATTTTGACAAATTTTGCCATGAATCTATAAACTTAAAATGCATATAAAAAAAAAATGTTACCTATATATCGCTAATATTTTTGAACTGCTATTTTAATCATTTTCGATGCTATTAAAGCATCTTACGAGAAACTTAATTAGCATTGAATTTTCAGCCTTTTGATGAAAGTTAAAAGTTTTTAACGATAATAATTTTAATAATATTTACAAAATATTGTATTGTGTATAATATATTTATTGCATAAAAATTTTCAAGACCATAACTCACTCAAAAAATTCAGTTTGAACATTTTGACATTTATAGAAAACGTTAATTTCAATATTTGATGAAAATTTAAAGTGTTTACGGTTATTGGTTTTTGAGTTACACCAAAAAATAAAATTAGTTTTTCCAAATGTTGATAACAGACGAAAAACCCCATCATTATAAATACAATATTTGCTACACTCAGAATCTACATACTGTTAATAATTGGCTTCTAAATACAATTTATTAAATTATTTTTCTCTCTTTTCTCTACACACTGCATGTGATGTGTGCATATTTTATAATATTGTAACATGTAACTATTTTTACTCCCGAAAAGTTAGTATATTTATTTTAGTAACAAAAATAACAAACACATACTTTTTACGATTCACGTGAACTCATCAAAGTTTTTTCTGCTACCATAAATATGTATATATATATGTTGTAAAATTTTAAAATCTGCAAAGTTTGCAGGTATCACTCGCACTCGTGCAACAGTCGTTCATGGGTCCTACATATAACGTATTTTCATATCTCTTCTAAAAATAGTCACAGTTCTATTATATAATATAGATTTTTGATAAAAAAAAAAAAAAACGTGGTAATCGGAATCCCGAGATTACAATAGATTTACTCACTATCACATGAAAATGATTTTAAATATGTAATTGAATTACAAATAGGTATATTAAATATTATATTTATCATTGAACAAATTAATATTTAGTAGTATTTAAAAACATTTTGATAATTTTATTATAATAATGATAATAACAATCACGGATAGTTAATTGAATTTAAGTTGAATATTTATATTTAAATTGAACATTTAAAGTTCTAATATATTACAAATTATCGTCAAAATATTATAGAAAACGTAATATTTTATTTCAAGGTACTATACATATTATATATATTAATTTTTTGAATGATACGTGTAATATAAAATATACCTATTTGTAAAAAATATTTACATAAATCATTTTCATGCGATTAATAATGTAATCTGGGGATTTTTTTCCGGGGCGTTCGTCGGGGGATTTATTTTCTCAGGGATTTTTATCCCTGGATTCCAAATCGACTTTTGATCGATCCCTGTCGACGCAGTGGCGCAAAAAAAAAAACAGAGACCGCAACGGAACAACACTCATCATTGGATATCGGGCAGCCCGCTGGTGGTGTATACGAAACCACCAACACTGGCGATTTATCACGGTCTCGACATCTGTGGACAACATCGACTGCAGCTGCACCTGAGGCTGCCAAAGCCGTGAAAAATGCAGTGGCAGTGCGGTGGATGTGGAAAGAGTGGCAATTAGCGATTGAATGTCACGTAACTATCAACTTGCAGATGACCGGATGTCCAGAGACAATGTCCGGAGACAATGTGCAAGCATACAAGTAGGTGCGTATGCGTTATCGCAAGTAGTCCGAGTAAGTACGGCATTTTTCTGCCAAATAAACTGGTTGATTGATTTCCGTGATTATGAAAAAAACTTTTCCGCCAAAAACGAAAAAGTACAATTCCTGTTTCCGTCAAAATGTATTTTCGTGAAAAAACACTTCTATATAATGAAACATTAATACATATATATTAATATCATAATATTCTATTGCCTAAAAATTAAGATAATTTGTTACCAGAATATTTTAGGGTAAAAGCGTGCTTTGGACTTTGGTGAAACAGGAATTGTACTAATTTCGCTTTTATTGGAAAAGAATTAGGGTGTAAGCGTAGTGTAATACCCGCCGGGTGCCATTACAAATTTGGCTAAAGATATTTAGTTAAGCAATAAATAATAAATAATAGTTACCTTATGCAGGTTGAATATTAATTTTGGAGTGGACGGGTATTTGGCATTGCTCAAGATCAAATGTTAACAAAAAATTGTAGTTAAAATGAAACTCGCCGAGTATGAAATGTTTAATTAGTGTAATTAGGTATACCTATGACTAAAAGTTTTAAAATAAGTTCCAGATTTTCAACTTCAGTATCTTTTCTGGTAGGAAAGTTAATTAGTTAGTGCATTCAGGAGGTCAAAATTAAAAATTTTCAGTAGATGCAAAAGTATTCAAAAGCACCCGGGGGGGTCAAGAAAAAATGGTAATTTTTTCGCAAAATTGGTCAACAAAAATATCGGTTTTGGTTTTTAGTGTAATGAAAATAAAAAAAATTATCGTATATCCATGATATTTTGATTGAGAAGGTTCTTCAAAAATTGTTTTCAGTACAAGTTAAAAGAAAATCGTAAATCCACAATAAATTTTTATAAGCATGTCTCGAGTTAGAATTTTGACAAAAAAAAATAAATATCTACGGAAAGTCAAATTAAATTTGTATGTTAGTTAAAACTTTAAAAGCTAATCAATCGATTTCTCATGATGTTCATATTTTATTATAATTCAAAAACGAATAACAGATAGATACTTGGAATTTACAAAATATAATTTTTTAATTTTTAGATTCTGAGCGGTGCGATGAATGTATTGATTTTACCATGATGTGTGTTTTTATTAATTTTTTTTTTGTGTGTCTGTTATCACGTTTTGGGGCAGTAAAAATGCTTCGATTTTTGACTTCAGTAACTCGTTCGATCAGAAAGTGAATCTAGTTGGTACTTTGGGGGGTTCTTAATACTTTTCTAAATAATCGATAAAAACTAACTAAAAATTAAGGGAAAAACGGGAAATTTTACGCACACTCATTTTTCGACAAAA